CTTTCTGTCTCTGTGTCTCTCTCTGTCTGGCGAGCGCACATGCCCTATCGCAAAAACCTCTCCGAAAAAAAAATTTTGTTAAACATTTATTTAATTTTATTTGTTATTATTTTTATTGTTATTATTATTTATTTAATTTGACTAGAGAGAGAAAGGGAAAGTGCGAAAGCAAGTCACCAGGTCTGGGACTCAAACCGCGGTTGGCCACGTGGGAGTCCAACACCCTTAACCACGATGCCACCTGCTGGCCCCAAATTAAAAAATAATAATAATAATAAAATAAAAAGTTTCCTCCCACTCTCCCTTCCTTCCTTCCCTCCACCACACCAATAGGATCTCACACTGCAACCCCAGCCAGCCTGGATCACGGCATGAGCATGTGCACTCACACCTGGCATTCACAGGCCGACCCAGGGACTGAACACCCTACTGCTGTGCCACTGTGACTAGGCCTTCAGTTATATTTTTAAATTTTGTTTTGGCCCTGGGTGTATTTTTTATTTTTTTATTGTGGTAAAATACACATAAATTTGCTGTGTCAGCCATATTAAAGTGTACGATTAGTGGTATTTCGTACATTCCCAGTGTACTGCAGCCGTCATCGCTCGTTCTACAGCATGTGAATAGTCTGCTTTCTAAGTGCATTTGCCTATTCTAGATATTTCATTTAAATAAAATAAGGCAATTTGTGGCCTTTTGTGTTGGCTTCTTACTTAGCATAATGTTTTCACAGTTCATTCATGTTACAGCATGTAGCAGCACCGTCCTTTATCATGGCTGAATAATATTCCATTGTATGCCAACCAAAATATACCATGTTTTATTCACTCATTCATTCGTTTGATAAACATTAGGGGTATTTCCACCTTTTGGCTATTCTAAATAATGCTGTTATGAGCATTCATACATAAGTATTTGTTTGGATACCTGTTTTAAATACTTTTATTTTTAAAATTTTCTATAGGGTACATGCACTTGCTGGAGAGTTGGCAACACTGCAGTCCCTTCTCCTTTATTCTCCTCTTGAGATTTTGGGCATGCACACGTACACATGCCCATTGTTTTTTAAACCCCCCGGTCAGGAATTGAACTGTGTATTTGGCCATGTGGGATCCAGCATGTTACCCACCACACCATTGGCTGGGATTGCTGGGCAATATGATAGTCCTGTTTAACGTATTGAAGAACTGTCACTTTTTCACAGCAATCAATATGCAAGTGTTCCAGTTTCTCCACACCCTCACCAATACTAGTTACTTTGCTTTTAAATTACAGCCATCATAGTGGTTTGTTGTCATGTTTTGATTTCCCTAATAACTAGTATTGTGCATCTTTTATGTGCTTACCAGCCATTTGTGTATATTCTTCAGAGGAGTGTCTACTCAAGTCCTTTGTCCATTTTTTAATTGGGTTGTTTGTCTTTTTGTCACTGAGTTCTTTATACATTTTGGATAATAGACCCTTAGTAAATATATGATTTTGCAAATATTTTCTCTCATTCTGTGGATTCTTTTCACACTTTTTTTTAAGAGATATTTTTGCAATAAGGCACCTGTGCTTGTCAGAGAGAAAGACAGAGAGACCAAAAGTGAGAAATTGCCTTTCAAGTGGCATGGCCATGCCAGAATCCCTTATCCATTCTCCTCGGAATATTGGGCACTGATGTGCCTGGCATGAGTTTGAAGCTACTGGGTCCGGGACTCAAACCATAGTTGGCCATGTGGGAGACCAGCAACATAACCGTTAGGCCATCTCCTGGTCCCTCTTATTCACACTTTTTTTCTTAATTCATGATAGAGCCCGTACATGTACATGAGAGAGATGAGCACCCTCCACAGGGTTGGATCACACCATAATCTCCTTGCAGGCCTCCAGCTCATCAGATCTTGGGTGCTTGCACGTGTGCCCGGCACGTCTTGGGCTGACTGGGTTGAGGAATCAAACCATGATTGCCATATATTGGGTCGTTGGAAAAGCCATGATGCGTTTTTGGATAGGAAAATACGTCGTGACTTTTCTGGCAACCCAGTGGGATCTGGCTTCTCTTGAGCAGCACAGCACGTTGCTGCCGCAGCGTGGGGCCAGCCTCCCACACACTGCTCCCCTTTGATACACACAAGTTTTTATAGTTTGGACCAAGTCGGTTTTTCTGCTTTTATTACTTGGATTTTTTGGTGTCAAAACTGAGAGATCATTGCCAAATCCAAGGTTGCGGAGATTTATATCCCTTTTTTCTTCTAAGTTCCATAGTTTAGCTCTTACGTTTAGGTCTCTGAACATTTTGAGGGTTTTTTGCATATGACGTGATGTAAGAGTCCAGCTTCATTCTTGTGCAAGTAGACGTCTGACTGAGCAGTTGTTGAAGGGACTATTCCTTCCCCATTCAGTGGTTTTGGTACCCTTGTGAGAAAGCCGCTGGCCAGAGATTTGGGCTTCCTGGATCTGTTTTTGTGAGACAAGTTCATTCTGTCCAATGATTTCTTTAATCCTTTTGAAGAAGGAAGGGACTTGACTGATGTTGAGAACACTGACATTAACTCAGAAGAGCCCCTCGTTGATCACAACAGGGTGAAACCCTGTCAAAAATATCTTTCTCATTCATTAAAAAAAAAAGAGGGGGACTCATTGTAATATTATAGCTTTGTTCTCATTTTCCCTTTAAGACTTTAAAGCCTGCCTTTTGTATTCTTCCCCCTTTATACTAACACTGTCTTTTTATAATCCTTAACAGACAGATGTACAGAAGATTTTACGAAATGCAAGGAAACTCCCTGAAAAAACACAGACTTTCTATAAGGTGAGACTATCTGAATTACAGCAGAAGGGGCTGTTCTCACAGTGTAGGGTAGCAGTGTGAACGTGGACAGGCATTAGATGTGTCTGCTTGGTGCCTCCATTTTATCCATTAGTCAAGTTGGCAGAAGGGATAGGTCCATCCCTGCCCTAAAACTGAGAGCTGGAGGCGTCTACGTGGCTTAGTTCTGCACAGAAGCAGCTCACTGTGTTGGTGTGCTGGGAACTGCTGCTGAAAGGCCTGGGGGTCAGAGCCCTTTACCTCCCTCACCACTCACGGTATCCCCCTCCAGTCCCAGCCACCAGTGTATGTGACCTGTGGGAGGGGAAAGGCCCAGAACATTCTTACTGCACACAAGCAGCAGCTTTCAGGAGTGACTTCTAACATCACACACTTAGGAACGGAAATAAAAACGAGGCCCTTCAGACTCAAATCTAGCTAATCTGGAACCACTGAAGAACATAAAATCACAAGGGGGAGTGTGGCATGGGGCATCTGGGCTCACTCCTTGTTTTTTTTTTTTTTTTTTTTTTTTTTATAAAAATATTTTATTTTTTCTTATTGGAGTGTGGCATGGGGCATCTGGGTTCACTCCTTGTTTCTTTTTTTTTTTTTTAATAAAGAATTATTTTATTTAACTTTATTTAGTTAGTTATTTTAATTTGACCAGAGGAGGACAGAGTGAGAGAGAGGGAAAGTGAGAAAGCAAGCCGCCAGATCCAGGACTCAAACCACAGTCGGCCATGTGAGAGTCCAGCCTCCTTAACCACCACGCCACCTGCCGGCCCCAAATCACTCCTTGTTTCTTCCCTGTCCTCCTGGTGTTTGGCTGAAATTAAATTAACTGCCGTGTAAGATCTGCCGTCGTCATTTGTGTCCTAGCTTGCTGACTTAGAACACGGCACACACAGCAGCCTCAGGCTAGCATCTCTTCCAGAGAGCATACCTGCCCCTCTGGGTGTTATTGCAGTACCCTCACGTCACTGTTGTCCTCAAACCAAATTATGTGGCAAGCTGGTGAAATCAAACTAACGCAGTTTAATCCAAGTTCTACTGGAGAGCTGCCAGCCCCTCCCTCACTGCAGCCCAAGCCCACGCAGCCCCCTGGGCACCCCTGGGCTGCAGCCATCTCCGCAGCTGGCAGCTCAGGGTGGCAGCCTCACACATTGGCTTCCGAATGCTTCACCATGACAGATGCCAGTGCAGAGGTGGTCGGAGGCCACTGCTCTTTGCTGATTTTTCGTAATCCTTCACGGTAGGGCTCGAAGGAACTCTAGCTGAGTGCTTCAGCCTTCTCAGTGGGCAGGGAAGGAGTCATCCTCCTCGTTTTGTGAGTGAGTCCTCGGAGACCAAGAGAGGCTGCAGTGTGTCCAGGTCACACCACTAAGTGGTCGATGGGACACCTGGCATTTCCCTGCTGCCATCTGCTACCCAGCCTTTCTCTTGTGGCAGCCTTTCCAAGCTGTCCTGCAGGGCCTCCTCTGAACATGCTGTCATTCAGGGCGAGGCCACCAGAGCCAGCGAGGGTCAAAGCCCTGAGATTTGGAGAGCCTCTTCTATACTGGGAAGGGTGATCCTCCTATGGCTCGAAGTCAGTGAAATGACACGGCAAAGTGCTCGCCACCGAGCTTGGCATAAATGTTCACCAACTGATGACGATGCCCTGTTTAGTGTCTGGTCTCTGTGGGACAATCACTTCCCATTTCTGTCATCACACAGCTTTATTTGCATCTCTGTATAATACTTGTTCTCATTTTAAAATGCTCCCTTAAGTTCAGGGTCCAGAACTTACTCTGAGCTGAGCACCTGAAAGTAAGTGATGAGAACAGGCCCCGGGAACAGTGGTGTTTCTCTTGCTTCAGGAGCTGAACCGTTTACGCAAGGCGGCCCTGGCCTTCGGCTTCCTGGACCTGCTCAAAGGGGTGGCGGACATGCTGGAGCGGGAGTGCACACTGCTGCCCGACACCGCCCACCCCGACGCCGCCTTCCAGCTCACCCACGCTGCCCAGCAGCTCAAGCTGGCCAGCACTGGCGCCTCTGAGTACGCCGCTTATGACCACAACATCACACCTCTGCACACGGACTTCTCTGGGAGCAGCACTGAGCGAATGTGAAGCTGACTTTTGGAGCCTTCTGTAGTTTTCATTTCAACTGAAAGTGACCTACAGTAAAAACCTCCCCGGTATGTTCACTTCTGGGATAGCCAAAGCCCCCGACTGCCTCAGAAGCTACCTGCTGGTCTGTGCGACTGCTGCAGTCCGAGAAGGGTCTGAAGGGTGCTGGCCGGCTGCACTTTACCTTCAGCTTCCTGGGACTCAGGATCAAGACAGCTGATCCCTTGGAACCAGCAGTTAGCGTAATGGCTATGTCGCTGGACTCCCACGTAGTCGACCGCGGTTCGTGTCCCGGACCCGGTGGCTTAAAACTCACGCCGGGCACGTGTGCGTGCGTGCCCAAGATCCCAAGAGGAGAATGGAGGAGAAGGGATTGCGGCATGACCATCCCCCCTGGGGGGTGATTTCTCGCTTTCTGTCTCTATGTCTCTGTCTGTCTGTCTGGCGAGCGCACGTGCCCTACAGTGAAAATCTCTCCAAAAAAAAAAAAAAAAGACAGCTGATCCCAGGACAGGGACAATCCCAAGAAGCTTGAGTGGCCAAGAACACAAAGCCCTCTGCTGCCTCAGATGCCTGACTGGCAAGGGTTCTCCGGCTTCCTGAAAGCGTCTTTTCTTCTCTACAATTTTATGTCTCAACTGTAAGGGACATTTTCAAGCCTCTGTTCTAAGGAATGGGCAACCCAGACTGTCCGGAGCTTGCTAAGTACAAGCCCAACACCACCAAGTTTTAGAGCTTTCCTTAGAACTTGGATAAAAATGTGGTAGTAACCCTTAGGGACTTTTGGTATATCCTGAGATACAGACTTTCGAACGGCAACCTTGTATGTGTATAGTCATTCCTGTTTCTTCCAGGTTTTTTTGAAAATAAAAATATCTGATTTTCTGTAACAATGGCTTCATTTGGTTTGCCCTATCACTTTAGTATGATTTCAACTTCCTAAGTGGCACAGATTCTGTGGTTTCCACAGTGACTTATTTCGGACACTGTTGAGGCCCCACGGCCTACCCAGCTCTGGCCAGCAGGTTCCGACAGATCACTGATCTCAGTCACATCACCTGTGCCTCTCCTCCACAGACCTCCTTCAGGCTTCAACCAGAGCAACTATTTTTAGTTTAACATGCTGAATTGCTATGTAATTTTTTTAAAATAATTTATTCAATGATTTTTAATTTGATACAGAGAGAGCGAGAGAGAGAGAAAGTGAGAAAGCAGGCCACCAAATCTGGGATTCGAACCAGCGTCGGCCATGTGGAAGTCCAGTGCCTTAACCACCACACCTGCTAGCTCCGCTATGTAATACTTTACCTGAACAAAGAGCAATAGTACTAACAGTTTAAAAATCATTAGACTAAAAAATCTCTAAGCACAAGTTTAAGGATTTTGAATGCAAATGTTTTTTAATAGAAATACACAATCTTTCACTTTCTCAGACAGCAATAAAGGTGTTTGTAACAATCGCTACTACAGGATTTTGCCAGGAGGATGCAGTGTAGCCTACTGCAAAGCTGATCTGCCCAGTTACACACAGTCAGTTTGAAGAACATCAGAGGTCTGTACAGACCAGTGTCAACAGAAGTCACATACATTCAACGTGTCCTTCAGTCTAGGAATTCTTTACAAATCAGCCGGCCTATGCTTATCAGGCGTTTTGGGTCAAACCACCATTCCCTCATGGGCTCAGGGAAACAGCATCAACTCATTAGGTTTCCTTTCCCTCAGAACGGGAATGGCAGAAGAGGAAGAGCTACCACGCCTTCCTACTTCCAACACTCGCTTTTACGTGGGTCACTTGGAATGCTTCAGAGGAAACATGTTTTATACAATGGCCAGCTATGTGTCTAGATCTTGTTCACTTCCCCTTCTGGTGGGCTTCCTGGAATCTGTTAAAAGATGGGTTTGTGGTTCGTCACCCACAGCTGCCATCCAGTTTCCAGTGTTCTACTGCAGACAGGTAAAGCCAATCTGATGACAGCAGAAGAAAAGTGGTTGTTTTTGAGGTCTACTCAAAAATGTCACCACTCCCTCAGACGAGTACAGAGAACGGACTCAGCCAGCACTGAGGAAGGCGGTGCACAGCTTAGGCCGGCTTCGGAGGCCTGGCTGGCCCACTGCAGTGCTCCCGCCTCTGCACTGCCTCACCAGCAGCTCACTTCCTGCCAGTTGGACCCGCGTCTTTGTGTGCCCCTCCGACCCCTACAGCCATCTGCATATGGGACTCAGAATGTCACCGTTTTCTAAATAGTGTTTCACCTTTCTTTAGTGTGAAAAATAGTTCCAATCTAGCTAGGAATCAAGTGACCACGGTGTTCCCAGGTCTGACTGGCTTTCTTCAAATCATTTCTTTTCCTGTCACTCTGGGCCTCGCCAGGGCCTATGCTGGTCTGCACTGTAGGGACAGGCCCTGTGAGGCCAAACAATGTCAGATAGAAAACACATTTCCAGCCCCTCCTGACTTAGGAACGTTTTACTATTGACTGAGTCCACTGGACTTGCAAAAGGGCAATGCCACCTGACTAAACCAGGGCCCTCCTGGGTAGATACAGAGGTCCTGCCTGAGTCCATTTCAGCAGCCTCCTGTAGAACAGTGTAGTCTTGCTTTTTTGCACAACAGCTGAAAAGCACAAACCCCAACTAGAGAACGGTCAGTAGCTTGCAGGGATCAAGCACGCACGGTGTCTCCGGCATGTAGGGAACGGGCTGACAACACGTGAAGTGGGGCGGGCGTGGGCTGAGTCTTCAGCTGTCATTAACTGAATACACAAGAACAAACCTGTCACCAGATATTAGGAATCCATGTCATGCAAGAACTACACTAATACAGTAAGTTCAGGAATGTCACTGAGAAAAAGGAAGATAGCCTCGCTGAGAATTTAACCTTTTAACTTTAAAAAAACTTTTACATAGGTACAAGAAGGTAAAACTGTTAAGAATCACAGATTAGGCTCCAACTGGCAGGAAGCAATCTAACTCTCCCTTTTTAGTGAATCTTTTTCTTTTTTTGTCCATAGCGCCGCCTGCGCTGTTTATAAAGGTGACGGAAATTTATGTATAACCCTGGAAAAGAAAAAGAGGCTGATTAGAAACGAGAATCTTTATCTTAGTCTATTTATAACCAGAAGCTGGTGGGGTGGGAACAGTCTAGTCTCCCACAGTGCTGAGCTTACTGCTCAGGACGGAAGCAAACTTAGAGCCAGTGATTAACAACGCACTAGACACAACCCAGTAGCACCACCACCACCACCCCCGCCCAGTGGGCTTCCGAGTTTATTTTCCCAGGCATTTTATGGAATTTTCAAATATACAGAAAAGACTGAACCAGGGCATAGTGAATGCCACCTAGCCGTAAGCTTTCCACTGCACTTGCTCTGTCGCCTCTTCATCTATGCGTGCCTCCACCCATCTCATTTCTTTTTCTCTTTTTTTGGAGAGGCTTTTTGCTATAGGGCGCGTGCGCTCGCCAGACAGAGAGACAGACAGAGAGACAGAAAGCGAGAAATCACCCCCCAGGGGGGATGGCCACGCCACAATCCCTTCTCCTCTCGGGATCCTGGGCACACATGCACACGCGCCTGGCATAAGCCACCAGGTCCGGGACACGAACCGCGGTCGACTACATGGGAGCCCAGCAACATAGCCATTACGCTAACTGCTGGTCCCCACCCATCTCATTTTTGATGCATTTCAGCGGATGTTTACAGAAAACAGTATACTTCAGTCCTAAAAACTTCATTAAATTTAGCTCAAAATTCTTTTTTTACATTTTCTTTTAAGCTAACAATGAAATACATAAATCTAAAGTGCAGACAACCCCATTTATAATTCAAGGCTACTCGGGAACATGTATTAAGCAACAGTGTGAAGGCCTGGGACACTTGTCTAAGAAGCACATTGAGTGAACGAGGAAGCACAGGGTTTCGGAGTCAAAAACAGCTCAGCCGCACCTGACCACTGAGCACCTCTGCAGCTCAGTCTCCCCGTCAGCGTCTTCATTTGTACGAACGGTTAAAAACGCTTATTTTACAAACTTATTATGATGGAATAAACCTAAGTTTAAAAAACGCTTTGACCTTGGGACCAGCAGTTAGCGTAATGGCTATGTGGCTGGACTCCCACGTAGTCGACCGCGATTCGCATCCGGACCCGGTGGCTTAAAACTCACACTGGGCGCGTGTACGTGCGTGCCCAAGATCCCGAGAGGAGAATGGAGGAGAAGTGATTGCGGCGTGGGCATCCCTCCTGGGGGGGATTTCTCGCTTTCTGTCTCTCTGTTTTTCTCTGTCTCTGTCTGTCTGGCGAGCACATGCGCTCTATAGCAAAAAAACCTCTCCAAAAAAAAATAATAAATTAAAAAAAAATGCTTTGACCTATATACAGATGTTAACTGGTTGTTATCTACTGCTTTGAAGTCATAAATGTGAACTTGGGGCTTATTTTATTCTGAAGAATAAGAACAACTACGTATTCATTATAGGCAAACTGAAGATGAGTATAAAACCTTGCCAATTAGTGTGGGCAACAGTATAATCAGCACGAAGAAAAGAAAAAACTTAGTACACGTTCAGTATCTCTACACCTTTCCCGCCTACTTTTTCAATTTGCCAGAGAGAGCAAGAGCACTCCCCGGTGGGGCATGGCCATGCGGCAGGCCCTTCTCCGTTTGTCCATCCTGTCACCATTTGGGGCTGGTGGCATGCACACACAGCTGGCGTGTTTTTCTAGCCGCCAGGTCCAGGACTCCAACTGCGCAGCTGGCCATGTGGAATCTGGTTCTCTTAACACCTAGGCCGTGAGGCTGGCTCATCTGCCCGTCCCTTTTTAGTAAAATATGAGGTCATCAGGAAGTTATGCTGTGTTTTTTCTGTGCAAAAATGCGTCAGGACTTTCCAGATGCCCCAACAGTTTGTGTCTCCCCAGTACTTATTTATCACTTTTCATGGAGCCTGGTTACAGTGATACCAGATTTACACACAGAATTGAAGTGCTTATTTATGTATTTGTCAGAGGATGCATGCCAGAGAACCAGAGAGAGAGGGCAAGAGGAAATACCGTCACTCCCCGTGGGGAATACGCCACTATCCTTCTTCCTTCATTTCTCCCTCCTTTCAGGAGTCGGGGCACCGACGCATGCACAGGGCACCCTTTTTAAGCTTCCAGGTCCAGGACTTGAACTCTGTGGTCAGCCATGTGAGATCCAGCCACCTTTACCACCATGCCACAGGCTAGCCTGCTCATGAGCTCTTTTGATGAGTACATTTTCCACATTAAAGTTTATTTTCAGGCTGGTTCTGTAGGCTGGTGGTTAAGGGAACCAAATCCTTTATGGGAGCCCACACAGTCTGAATCCCAGCCCTGGTGGCTTGTGGGACATGCCAGATGTGTAGTGAGTGTCCAAAACACAGACACGATGGAGAAATGGAGAAAGGCTTGTGGCATGACCACACCCCACTGGGAGGCGGTGCTTTTCGCATTCCCTCTTCTGCATGGGCGCTCTCTGGTGAGCACATGTGCCCTATAGCAATTCTTGGTACAAATTTACTTTCTTCAAAGGCCAGAACTTATTAACATTCTTGGTTAGAAATCTTTCTCAAATGTATTATTCTCTTTGCTGATTTTGAAAACAGAATGAAATGGAATAGAATTTAATCTTCTAGAAATGACCTGGACCTCTAATGTAATGCTTGGCTGTGTGCTTGCATGCACTGACACTCTTGAGGGCTCCTAAAGGGGGTAAGTCCCTTCTCCTCTGATATAAAACAGTCAGGCCACTGGCTTTTCTGGCTTCTCGGGCTTTCTGTGGCCGTCCTCTCACTGTCTGGGGACCCCACAATCTTCACCTCCTGGATGATCCTGTGATCTCTACCTCCTGGTAGCCCGTACTCTGGTGTGGTCCCCTCCTGCCTCACAGAGCTGGTATGTGAGAGGGTGTGCCGCTTCCGAGATGAAGCTGTAAAAGGCACTGTGCTTCTGCTTCTCTCATACGTGCTCCGAGAGAAGCCAGGACGTGAGCAGCCACATGGAGAGGTGCTGAAGGCTTCAAAAGTGAGCTTGGGGCATATCCCCCCACCCTATCAAGTCTATAGAAACCATAGCCCTCACTGACAGCCTGATGGAAACCCCATGAGAGATCCTGAGCCAGAAGCACTTAGCTGGGCTGCTCCCTGACCCTCACAACTGGTGAGCTAACCAGTGCTTGTTGTTTCTGGCTGCTGAAGTTATGGGTAATTTGTTACACAGCGACAGATGACAAATGCACTATCTGCCACTGCACCCTTCTGTTGCTAGGAGACCAGACACATATTTATGACTACCTCATGTCTTTTGTAAAATGAAGTAGGGAAATACATAAATCAGCATTAAAATATATTAGAACTTTAGCTTAGGAAAGAGTCCTTATAGTAAGGAAAGCTTTTAAATTTTCCTACTTATAATCATTTAGGTTCACACTCTTCCCCTCTAGTTCTTAATTTTTATGAATTATGCCAAGAATGTATGACTTTACATAAATGTAAATTAAGAAGCGAGCAGGTTTATGTGAGGAGTGGGGACTCCCTCTCGCAGAGGGGGCATTCAGGACGACCTCCAGCTACGCAGGGGCCTCTGGGGCCTCTGTCGTCGTCCTTTCCTTCCTTGCTTGCCAGCTGTGCTGTCACCCCTGGAGCCTGGATTAGTAAAAGCAAAACCAGCTCCCCACTCTGCCTGAAAAGAGCTCCTCGCATTGTTTTAAATAGGAAGTATCTTATGGTATATTCTCAATAACAAAGAGCATTTCAAGAACATAATTAAATCCCTAGATATCTGGGAAGATGAATTTCCACAGCATGGCAACATTCTCCTAGTGGTCTGTTTTTGCAAACTAATCTTTCTCTACCTCCACGCCATTCTTTTGGAAGTAAGGATTCTAATAGTAGACTTTATTTATTTATTTATTTATTTTTGAGAGGCTTTTGCTGTAGGGTGTGTGCACTCGCCAGAAAGACAGAGAGAGAGACAGAAAGTGAGAAATCACCCCCTGGGGGGATGGCCATGCTGCAATCCCTTCTCCTCCATTCTCCTCTCGGGATCTTAGGCATGCATGCACACACACACCTGGCTTGAGTTTAAGCTACCGGATTCGGGACTCAAACCACAGTCCACTACATGGGAGTCCAGTGACATAGCCATTAAGCCAACTGCTGATCCCCTCTAATAAGTAGACTTTTAAAACTTGGAATCATTTAACTTCTTAGAAGTGACAGGAAAAAGTCCATAGTATAGACCCAATACTCACCTAAAAATAACATTATAAGATAAATCTGAAGAAAAAACGAAAATCTAACTTTGATTTTCATTGGATACGGCAGTGTGAAACTGAATCTTCCGGTTTCGTTGAATATTGGAATAGACTGGATCACTGAAACCGCTGAAAGCAAAAACGAACACTTAGAAGCAAATCGAGCGCTGGAAAATCCCAGCCCCAGCCCCCAACGTCTCGGTGCTGGTTTTGCTGGAATGCTTCCTCCTCCTCTGTACGGAGAGCTCACGCCTCTCCTTTCTTCCCCCTCACTGTCTTACAAGATAAGCCTCTCCGCCGTCGGCAGACATGGACAAGGGGCAGTCATGGCGCTGCGCTGGAGGTCCCTGCTCTGTAAAGGGGAGAGGAAAAGCCCTGCCTGACCCACTCACTGGGTGTTTACAGAATAAAATGAAGTCATCAACAAGAACCTGCTTTAGAAATGGAAAACATCATTAAATAGGCATGCAGCCTGTAAACACTGGCTCCCAAACCTTACAGAACGAGCTACTGCCCTGGAACTGTCTGGGTACCAGCAGCGTTATGGAAGGAAGCCGCTAGGAAAAAAGATCCCTGAAAATCCAGCACCCACTTGGACTGAGGCTGGTGGAGGAGGGAGTGAAGACTGGCCCCTACGCTGTTAGCCCCGCTGTGATCTAAGCGGTGGGACCTGGCGCTCCCAGGTACCTTCTGCCAGACACCCCAGAGGGTACGCGGGGATCCACACGGTGTAGCGCAGCCAGGTGAGCACCTTCCAGTCCATGTCGATGCAGGCGAGCATGTAGAAGGGGTACCTGTGGGGGCAAGTGACTGCAGCTGAGACTGTCCAAGCACAAGCGGCATTTCGTCTTTTTTCTTTTTCATTTGTCAAAAGATGTGTGCACTTACCAGAGTGAGAAAGGGAAAGTGAGAAAGTGCCCCCATCAGGATGGTCACAATCCCGTACCCTCCACTTCTCCCTCCTGACAGGATTTTGGGCACACACACACACACACTCGGCATGTTTTTCAAGCTTCCGGGTCCAGGACTCGACCCACGCAGTTGGCCATGTGGGATCCAGATGTGTGAATCACTAGACCACCGGCTGACCCAAGAACCATTTCTTAACTGGCCACACATGGCTTCCTCAGAACAGTAATTTATGATCCCGGGTTCTCTCGCTACAAACTCCTGTCGTGCTGCTTCCTTAAAGGACGCGCGCTCGCTAACGGCAGACTAAGCTTAGGTCAAACCCTCTGTTTTGTATACTCAGAACGATGTTGCCTTTCTTCCTAGTACTGATCTGTGTTCCCAGTGGGTAAGGATGTCAAACACATCTCTAGTTAAATGAATTGTTATCAAAATTGAGAATTACACATACTATACTCTAAAAGAGACACTGTAAGAAAATTTTTTTCCCAAACAGTAAAAGTGAACATTTAGGACCTATAATCTGTTTCACCTTTACGTTAAATACATGAGCGGGTCTCTGGATCATCTAAGGTGGCTCCTGCCTATTCTCCCTTTCAGTTATTAGCTTTGTCAAAATACACCAAACCTACCACTGAGGAGTCAGTTTGAGAAATCTTTGCTCCATTTAACTGAAAAGAAATGTGGAATAACATTCGAGTAAAGAGTAAGAATATACCTAATTGGGGTCAGCAGGTGGCACGGTGGTTAGGGTGCTAGACTCCCATATAGCCAACTACAGTTCAAGACCTGGACCTGGTGGCTTGCTTTTTCATATTCTCTCGTACTCTATGTCTCTCTCTTTCTCTGGTGAGCACACATGCCCTACAGCCAAGTTTTAAAAATAATAATAAATAAAATTAAATAATTTTTTGGAGAGGTTTTTGCTATAGGGTGCGTGCACTCACCACAAGACAGAGAGACAGAAATCAAGAAATCACTCCCCAGGGGGGATGGCCATGCCGCAATCCCTTCTCCGTTCTCCTCTTGGGACCTTGGGCACGCCCACACACATGCCCAGCGTGAATTTAAGCCACCAGGTTTGGGACTCGAACTATGGTCGACTACATGGGAGCCCAGTGACGTAGCCATTACCCAACTGCTATTCCCAATACTTTTTTTAAAGAAAAGAATGCACCTCTTTTTTTAATTGTCAGCGGGCACCTGCGTTCACCAAAGAGACAGAGAGAGAGAAAGCACCCACAATGAAGAGTGATCGCCCTGCAATCCTTTTCCTCTGTCTCTCCAGCTCATCGGGAGCTGGGCGTGAGCACACACAGCTGGCAAGCCCATAAGGCTAGGATGTGAACAGCAGTTGGCCAAGGAAAATCCAGCTTTCAACGTGTAACAGTTACCACTGCACTATGGGGACAGCCCCATCTACTTTAATTGGATCAATTTTTTAAAAATATATTTCTTTTTTTTTTTGACAACTGAGAACGGAAATCAGGCAGGAGGTTGATCCAAACTTGAGTAATCTTGTAGTAAAAGATGTATTTCTAGCATAGTGATTAAGGTGCTAGACTCCCACGTGGTCAACCACAGTACAAGTCCCAGACCCAGTGCCTTGAAAATCACGCCAGGTCCATGTACATGTGTGTCCAAAATCCTGACAGGAAAATGGAAGAGAAGAGACTGTGGCATGGCTATTACCCCTGAGGGGTGATTTCTCACTTTTTCTCTCTCCGTCTCTCTCTCTCCAGCAAGTACATGTACCCTATGGCAAAAAGACTGGAAAAATAAAATGATTTATTTCTATCATCCCTTCTAGAAGGCTAGTCTTGACTGTTCCATCCAACCCAGCGTGTCCTTTCAACCTCACGCTCCTTCAGCCTTTCAGGAACTGTTCCGTGAGAAGAGTCCTTTCTTACAAGACACAAAACCTGTGTCACAGTACGATGGTCTTTCACTTCCTGCCCCTCACCTCTGCTCCCTGGTGGCTGGCTGGTATTTGACCCAGTGGCTGCTTTAAGACAAGAAACTGCCTCAACTCTGCAGAGCACACAGATGCAGCCAAAGATCTCTACATGTATAATCTGAGCCCTAACCCAGTGAGCCGAGGCCAATGCAGCAGCTCCCACCAGAAGAAAGCTGCTCCAGAAAGGGACACGTGTTCGAGCACCATCCTGGCATTGTGACCCACCTGAAAATTTCAACCATGCTCCAAGTATAAAACACAAAGAAGACCACAGCTTTGTTTTGCATTTCTTCCATGGTGCCAATGACAATGAACAAAATGAAATTTCTTCCAAGGAGCTAATAAAAAACAAAGAGAGAGGAAAAAAAGTTTTAGAATAGATATAAAGCCATACAATGAGTTATCTGAAACTTAACACCACCAAGTCCCAGGTAAATGCAAAACATGGAGCGCCACCAGTTTATAACTGTGCTGCAATTCTGGGAAGGTTCAAGGGCCCACATCAGTCTGTCTGTCTGTCTTTCTTTCTTTCTTTTTTAAATTTTGCTAAAGCATGCACACTCACCAGAGAGACAGAGAGAAAGGGAGCGAAGTGAGAAAGCACCACTCAGGGGGGATGGCTGCACCTCAATCCCTTCTCAATCCCTTCTCCATCTCTCCCTCCTTTTGGAACTTTGGGTATGCATAGGCGCCTGGCATGTTTTTAAGCCGCAGGGGCTAGGACCATACAGTTGGTGATGCAGTTTCTAGCACATTAACCACCATACTATGGGCTAGCCCTCTAAATCAGCTGTCTATCAATCCCTTCAATTGTGTGTGTGTGTGTGTGTGTGTGTGTGAATGTATCACGAATAGTGTATTTTTAAATACACAGTTTAAAGAATACTGTCAAATGAACACTGTCTACATAACCCAAGTAAGAAACACATGGCAGGCAGGCGGTGTGAGGGACTGCCATCCTGTGCTGGCTGCTGTTTCTTCACAGGCTACTGTCTGTGTGTCCCTCAACAGCGTAGTGTTCCCCTTCGCGCCTGTTTACACTCTCTGAGATCAAGCTGTATGTGCTATTCTTGTGCCTAGTTCTCAGTCAGTGTGACGGTCCCAAAATTCATCTGGGTTGACGCATGTGGCTGGTGTCCCCTCATCTTACTGCATGGGACATTCCAGTACATGACAGGAATCGTGTTCTTTTTAAAAAAACAAAACAAAACTTTTTTTAGAATTATTTTTATTTAACTTTATTTTATTCATTATTTATTTTTTAAATGTGACCAGAGAGGGACAAAGTGAGAGAGAGAGAAGAAAAGTGAGAAAGCAAGCGGCCAGGTCCGGGACTCGAACCACTGTCGGCCACGTGGGAGTCCAGCGCCCCTAACCACCACACAACCTGCCAGCCCCAAGGGTACTGTACTCTTGAAGGACTCCTGGGCTGTGGTCCGTTTCTGGGTTTTATTCTGTTCCGGAGGTCTATGTAACTACCTTTGTACTACACCACGTGGTTTTTTGTTTTTATTTTTTGAGAGATTTTTGTTACAGGGAGTGCGTGCTCATTGGCGAGAGAGAAAGACAGAAAGCGAGGAACCAGCAGTTAGCGTAATGGCTATGTCGCTGGACTGCCACGTAGTAGACCACGGTCTGGACCCAGTGGCTTAAACTCATGCCGGGCGCGTGTGCGTGCGTGCCCAAGATGCTGAGAGGAGAATGGAGGAGAAGGGATTACGGCGTGGCCATGCCCCCTGGGGAGTGATTTCTCGCTTTCTATCTCTTTGTCTCTCTGTCTTTCTGGCAAACACACGCGCCCCAATGACAAAAACCTCTCAAAAAAAAATTTATTTTTAAAGTGAGAAATTATCCTGCCTGGGGTGGGTAGCCATGCTACATCCCTTCTCCTCCATTCTCCTCTTGGGATTTTGGGCATACTCACGCCCGGCGTGAGTTTCAAGTCACCAGATCTGGGACTTGAACCATGGTCGTCCATGTGAGAGTCGAGCGCCTTAACCACTACACCACCTGCCGGCCTCTATCACATGGTATCTACTGAATCCTTGTAATATCTTCATTTCTTGTAGGATAAGGCTCTCATCTTGGATTCTTCTTTAAAAGAGTATTCTGGCCCTTTGCTTTTTTTCTCCACATTTTTCTTATTGTGGTGAAAGAATATAGCTCAAAAACAGGGCAAGGAGGGTGAGAAATAGTGACGCCCCAGTCTGATACAATCTTCCCAATATTAGGAAACAGCACAGATACACGGGAGGGGGGTCTTCCAGTTAGAAAAGCCACCTCATATATAGAAGAGAGTTCAAGCACTGAGTCCCCAGGAGTCTCCCTGCCTCCCTTCACCTGCGCTGGGAGGCCAGAAATGGAGGCTAGCTGCTCTGCTCCTGTGAGAACCAAACTGCCCTAGCTTCAAAGCCCTTTTCATGGAACTGATTTCATGAGGATGTTTTAAACAATGGGATAAACCTGAAATAGGAAAGAATACTTTGAAAAATATCCAGGGGCCAGCAGGTGGTGTATTGGGTAAGGGGCTGGACTCCCCCATGGCTGACTGCAGTTTGAGTACGGGATCTGACGGCTCGCGTTCTCACTTTCACTCTCTCTCTTTCTCTCTTTCTCTAGCACTGTCTGGTGAACTAAAAAGTAATAATAATAAGATCAGCAGATGACGTAGTGGTTATGTCACTGGACTCCCACATGGTCAACTGTGGTTCAGGACCTGTACCCAGTGGCTTAAACTCACACCAGGTACATGTGCATGCCTGCCCAGAATCCCAAGAGGATAATGAAGGAGAAGGAATTCTGGCATGGCCATCCCCCAGGGGAGTGATTTCTTGCTTTCTATCTCTCTGTCTCTCTTGTGCACACGTGCCCTATAGCAAAATCTCTCTCAAAAAAAAAAAAAAAAAGTAGTAAGAAGAAAAAATAAAATAGGGACCAGCAGAGGTCATAATGGTTACATCACTGGACTCTCCCACATGGCCAACGATGGTTCGAGTTCTGGACCTGGAGGCTTGAAACTCACACCGCACACATCTGTGTGTGTGCTCCCAATTTTTTTTTTTTTTAAGAGAGACTTTTCCTATAGGGTACATGTGCTCACCGAAGAGATAGAGAGAGACAGAGAGACAAAATGTGAGAAATCACCCCTGGGGGGATGGCCACACTGCAATCGCTTCTCCTCCAATCTCCTTTGGGGATCTGGGCATGCATGCACACACACCTGGCCTGAGTTTTAAGCTGCCAACTCTGGGAATTGAACCACGGTCAACTACGTGTGAGTCCAGCAACATAACTACTATACCATCTGCTGGTCCCACATACCCAAAATCCTGAGGAGAATGGAGAAGGGTTTGCAGTGTGGCCATCCTCCCTGGGGGGTGATTTCTCGCTTTCTGTCTCTCTGAATCTGTCCGTCTTTCCGGTGAGCACACACACCCTAGAGCATAAATCTCTTAAAAACAAAACAAAATAAAAATTAGGAAGAAATAAAATTAAATAAGTCTTAAAAAATAAAAGAAAAGATAAATGTCCCTGGAGACCAAGCCATTTGGCACAAAAGTTTAAGGTTTATGCAACAGTCTGAGGCTGACCCTCTTGGGAAGGTTCTGAGTTTACATCCAGAGACGTCCCTGAACACACTGGGCACACATGTGCCCACAATCATGCTGGCTGACGCTGACACAGGGATCCCACTGGGGGTGCCTGTGTGTGTGTGTGTGTGTGTGAGTGTGCACGCATGTCTGTCTCCTGCTCATGGCAGAAATAAACTTAAAAGATATATATATATATCCCACTCCTCCGTACCTGGATAAGAGCGGTCAGCACCGCCGTCGACGTGACTCCAATGGCTGCGTTGATGGTCTCCACCACTGCCAGCATCTGGCAGAAATAGACCATGTCGGCCACGCTGTGGAAGGTGTCGTAGAAGGACTCTATGGGCCCAAACACACATTCGAGTTAGTCGTCTGGCCAGTTCCAGCGGCACCGTTCCTCAGGCTGGATGGTGCCTTACTTGGAAGGAACTCTGGAGAGGCACGACCACATCCAGTCTAGGGTCATGAACGGTAAACTCGACTGGCTCCCCAAACAGCAGCCCCATATGCCTTTCCCATTTTTAGAAAGTAGCCCAGTAAAGATGAAGGGACCCAGATCCAACATGGCCAACCACGGTTTGAATCCCAGCGATGGTGGCTTGGAAAACATACCGGGCACCCGTGCATGCCCCAAATTCTGACAGGACAGACAAATGGAGAAGAATGGATTGTGGTGTGAGCATACTCCATTGAGGGGTGCTTTCTTACCTCCTCTCTGTCTCTCGCTCACATGCACACATGCTCTCTGGCAATTAGGGGGAAAAAGGCAAAGGAGAAAGCACATCTACACTTAGTTTGGTTACTGTAGACTGAAAAAAATCGATGTACCAGGCACACCGACAATTCTTTTCAGGTCCTTTATCTCATTTTACGTAAACCTAAAACTATTTTTTTTTTTTTTTTGGAGAGGTTTTTCACTGTAGGGCGCGTGCGCTCGCCAGACAGACAGAGAGAGACATAGAGACAGAAAGCGAGAAATCATCCCCCAGGGGGGATGGTCACGCCGCAATCCCTTCTCCTCCATTCTCCTCTCGGGATCTTGGGCACGCACGCACACGCGCCCGGCATGAGTTTTAAGCCACCGGGTCCGGGACGCCAACTGTGGTCGACTACATGGGAGTCCAGCAACATAACCATTACGCTAACTGCTGGTTCCCTAAAACTATTTTTTAACAATTATTTTATTTAAATTTATTTATTCTGATCAGAGAGGGACAGAGTGAGAGAGAGTGTGAGCGAGAGGTAGAGAGAGAGAGAAAGCAAGCTGCCAGGTCTGGGATTTGAACCAGTCAGCCATGCAGGAGTCCAGGACCCCTAACCACATGCCACTTGCCTGCCCCAAACCTAAAACTATCATTATATTACATATATAGGAACCCTTTGAACAACACAAGAGTAAAGGGGCTGACCCTCTGCATGATTGAAAATCCACATATAACTTTTGACTCCCCCCCAAAAAAATTTTTAACTAGTAATAACTTAGTGCTGACTAGAAGTCCTACCAATAAAATATACAATCAACCAACATATATGTTCTATACTACATTCATTCTTACAATATAGCAACCTAGAGAAAAGAAAACATTATTAAGAAAACCGTAAGAGAGCCAGTAGGTAGTATGGTGGTTAAGACACTGGATCCCACATGGCAAACTGTGGTTCAAATCCTGGACCAGGGGGCTTGAAAGACACACCAGCATGCATACATGCATGCCCAGAATCCTGAGAGAAGAATGGAAGAGAAGGGATTGTGGCGTGGCCATCCCCCTTCAGGGGTGATTTTTCACTTCCTCTCTCTCTCTTTCTCCCAAGCGACTGCATGTGTCCTATGGCAAAAATCAAAAAAGAAAAAAGAAAAGAAAACCGTAAGAGGGCCAGCCCCACAGCCTAGCAATGAATGGAAATGGGTCCCATGAGGCTGACTGGTTCAAATCCCAGCCCTGCAGCTTGAGAAAGCACACCGAGCATGTGTATGTGTGCCCCAAGCCTGACGGGATGGAAAATGGAGGAGGAGGGATTGTGGCATGGCCACATCACACTGGGGATGCTTTCTCCCTCTTTCTGTTTGTCTGCACCTCTCGGGCGATGCATGTAGCACCTGTGGTAGTTAGAAAGACAAAAGACAAATCCCGAGAGGAGATGCGTTCCCAGCACTGCATCTCACAACGCGCGCACTGAAGACCGAAGCGGGCCTGCGCCGGCCGAACTCCTGTCGGCCCAGAGTGATCGATGCCGGATGCAGTCCGACCTTGGAAAACCGTGAAAACGACACATACAGTTGTACATAAATGCAGGCGGGCAAGAGCACTGAATAAAACTAATCCAGATTTGAAAGAGCAACAGGCATCCTGTCCAGGATTGCCCCAGTTAACCGTCCTTGCCGTTAGGACCCAATAAAAGTTCCCGGCCCCCACTCTGCGGGGTCGATACAACCCTCCACATCTGCCCCCTTTCTTCTCTTGAAAAGTGAATCAATCTTTTCTATCAGCTTTCTCTGCAAGTTTGTGAATTCTTTCACAGCTCTTGATAAAGACCACCCTATCTAAAAAAATAAACAGCTTTCTCACTTTCTCTCTCTCTCTCTCTCTCTCTCTCTCAACCCCTCTCTGGTCAAATTAAAATAATAAATAAAGTTTTTAAAAAATGGTAAATAAAAAAAAAAATCAATGGTATAAAATAGTACACTCCTAGAAGGAAATTTAGCAATAAACATCAAAATCCTTAAAAATAATTTGCTCTTTATTTACTTACTTATCTTCACTGCTAAAATAAAATAAGGACATGCATGATCACCAGAGTCAGACAGGAAGAGGGAGAAAGCACTTCCCATGGGCCATGGCCATGCTGGGATTCCTTCCGCACTTCAACACCCCATCGGGGCCTGGGGCACACACGCACATGTGTCCTGCATGTTCTTCAAGCTACCGGGGATGGAGGTCAGACTGTGGGTGGCCATGTGGGATCCAGCTCCTTTAACCTCTAGGTTAGAGGGCTGGCCCAGTAATCCTCCCTTCAATCTTATAATTCTGCTTTAAAAACTTTTCCCAAGGAAATTATTAAGGCTATGAACAATCATTTAGCTATAACAATGTTCACTGAAACACTGCTCACACCCATAACCAGTTCCGAACCAACTGAATGTCTTACGGTTGATTACATACACGGGATGGCCATCCACAAAACACAGCCAGTAGCACTGCAAAGTGTCTTCACTGACATGGAGAGTGGTTTGTGCTATTTCTTTTTGGTGAAAATCAAGGCTACATGACAGTATTTACATTATAATCTTCTAAGCATTTTTAAAACTATATGGGTTTGGAAAGACAAACACCACAGCAGAGACAAACAGACAAAAAATGAGAAAGCACCTCCCTCCGTGGGAGATGGCCACACCGCAATCCTTCTCCACTTCTCTTTGCCCTGGGTACTTCAAGCATGCACACACATCTGTCATGCTTATCAAGCCTCTGGGCCTGGGACTAGAACCCACAGTCAGCCATGAGGGATCCAGCCATCTTAACCACCTCATCACCAGGTGGATCTTTCTGTATTTTTATTATTTCTTTAGATCAAATTTCCGGAAGTAATATAATCAGGCATATGAATAGTAGGTACTTGATACACTTTGCCAAATGATTTTCCAGAAGCATTGTTGGACTTGTTCCGTCTCATAGTCAGAGCCGAGTCTGTTCTAGCATGCACTCTCTTGAATTAGGTGTCTTTTGTAAGTTTGCAAAACTGATATATTAAAAATATCTTTGGGCGGGACCAGCAGATGGCATAATGATTACGTTGCTCGACTCCCACATAGTCGACTGCAGTTCAAATCCCAGACCTGGTGACTTAAAACTCAAGCCAGGAACGTGTGCGTGCGTGCCCAAGATCCCAAGAAGAGAATGGAGGAGAAGGGACTGTAGTGTCACCACCCTCCCTGGAGGGTGCTTTTTCACTTTCTGTCTCACTGCTTCTGTCTCTATGGCGAGCACATGCACCCTGTAGCAAAAATCTCTCTAAAAAATAAAAAAAAAACTTTTTCATTTCCTTCATATTTACTGAGTTAAACACTTTTCCAAACGTTACATTAGTTTTTATTTCCTCTCAGGTAACTTCTTGTACCTGACTTTTATGTATGTATTGAGTTTTCACATTTTTAAATAAATCTGTATATGTTCTTTATATGTAAAGAAACCAAATCCCTCTCCCCTACACTGTCTTCCAGTTCAGTATGCTGTTAATCTTTCATGCAGTCTTGGCTAGGGTCTTTTTAGTTATATAAAAATTTAGATACTTTATATAGTCGAATATACTGTCCCTTTTTAAAAAAGATAATTATTTTACTTATTATTATTATTTTTTAATTTGACCAGAGAGAGAAGGTGAGAAAGCAAGCCATCAGGTCCAGGACTCGAACCGTAGTCAGCCATATGGAAGTCCACCACCTTAACTTCCACACCATCTGCCAGTCCTTACACTATCCTTTAAAAAAAAATATCTTTCAGGAGCCACAAGGTCCAGGACTCGAACCACAGTCGACCATGTGGGAGTTCAGAGTCTCAACCACCACACCACGAGCCAGCCCTATCGTTTCATTTTCCTTCTAATACATTTTGTTTTCAATTTGCTAGAGGGCACATGTGTTCAGCAGAGAGAGAAAGAAGAGAAAAAGCATCCCCTACAGGGGATGATCACAGTGCAATCCCTCCTCCTCCTCCAGGATTTTGGGTCACTCTGAAGTGACTCCAGACTGCCAGATCCGGCACTCACAGCGTGCCGACTGCCACGTGGGACACAACCACCCAACCGCCACACTTCCAGCCAACTCTCTCGCTATTTTCTTTAAGTTTGCTATAGGGCAAACGCACGCACCTGAGAGAGACAGGGGACGTGAGAAATGAGCAGGACGGTCATGCCGCAATCCCATTTCCATCCTCTCGTTGGGGTTTTGGGCGCGCGCACACATACCTGGCCTGATTTTCAAGTTACTGAACTTCCTACCTAAGAATTTTATAAATATTTGCTTGTATCTCATTTAATGATTTAATGTTTTGATATATGACTCCTAAATCCTTTTGGGAATTTATTTTTGTACGCAGTGTGAGAGGAGTAAAACATTTCTTGTCTCCCTCGTATCCCCAAAGTTAAGTAATTTTCCTTGGGAACATCAGCCTTCCCATCCAATAAAAAACTGGAAAATATTTCCCTTCCCACTGATCAATGATTCCTCTTCTATCACATATGTAATTCACATATACGTAGTAGAAGAATCACTTCTGGGGCCAGCAGGTGGTGTGGTGGTTAAGGGCGCTGGACTCCCATGTGGCTGACCATGGTTTGAATCCTGAACCCAGTGGCTAGCTTTCTCACTTTCCCCCTCTCTCTCACTCTGTCTGTCTCTGATCAAATTAAAATAAATAAATGAAGTTAAAAAATTATTTAAAAAAAAAACAGAATCACTTCTAGGCCACCTAACTTGCTGTTACTGTACTCTTACAGCAACACTACCCTGTTTTAATTCCCACCCTTTTTAAATGTTTTAAAAAGTTATTTAATTTCGGGCGGGCAGGTGGCATAGCGATTGAGGAGCGTGCTGGACTCCCACATGGTCAACTGCAGTTCAAGTCCTGGACCTGGCAGCTTGTTTTCTTTCTCTCCCCCCCACCCGCCTCCCTCTCTGATCAAATTAAAATAAATAAATAAACAAGGTTAATAAAATAATTCTTTAAAAAAGAGAGAATTATTTAATTTAATTACTTATTTTTCTATTTTATGTTTTTTTAGGTTGACCAGAGAGAGAGAGAAAGCAAACCGCCAGGTCTGGACTCAGACTGCAGTCAGCCATGGGGATTCCGGCACCTTAACCACCACACCACCTGCTGGCCCCAATTCCTACACTGTCTTACCAGGTAGAAAAAGTCTATTCCCATTATACTTTCTTCCCCCTAAATTTTATTACATATTTGTCCTTCCAAATAAAATTTCAGAATACTTCAGATTGAATTCTGGAAAATTCTCCACTGGCATTTACTTTGGCCAGAATTCTGTTCAACAAACAAATTAATTTTGTCAGAACTAATAAGATGGTCTTTTCATTCTGTTTTAGAACAATTTATCTTAGAATCTATTTAGACTCCAAAAGGGTCAGAGCACTTTTGGACTTTGGTAACTTTGGCACTGGAAGTCTCATGTGTCACATCGCTGCATTTAATTATTAACCAACTGTCAAGCAGCGAACAGGAAGGGGAAGCTGGTCCAAGAGGTGCCTCTGGCTGGCTGTATGGACGTGAACCACCACGCTGGCCATCACTAGGCCTGTGCCCTCACCTGTTAACTGGAAAGATACCCAGACTGCTTGATTCACAAGACCATGGGAAATAAGAGGAATAAAAGCAGAGAGAAAGGCAGAAGGACTCCACCAATGTGGGAGGTTCTTTTTTTTTGCTATAGGCCAAATGTGCTCACCAGAGAGAGACTGAGAAAGAGAAAGAAATCACTCCCCAGGAGGATAGCACACCGCACTCCCTTCTCCTCTCAGGATTTTGGGCACACACGCACATGCACCCGGTGTGATTTTCCAGCCACTGGTCCAGAACTCAAACAGCACAATCGGCCATGTGAGATCCAGCAGCCTTAACCTCTGCGCCACCTGCTGGCCCAGGAGGTTACTATTAATATCAAGGCAAAGATGCTACCTTCGCTGAGCAGTAGGCCAAACCACTAGGAGAGGGAACACCAGCCCTGAAATTTCTTACTTGCCTTTTCCAAAGATACAGAACCGCACGGTCATGTTGACAAAGATCCAGGAGAATCCCAAGAATTGCACGAGATTATACATGAACAGGTATCCTTTCTTCAAGCTTGTAAGAGCTGAAAAACAAAGCAAGGCGCTTAAAAGCAAAAGTCACGCAGGAGAGGGCTGCAGAGGGCTTGTCTGGATACATTCTACCCTTTTTTCCTGCCTGGGTGCCCTAAGATCCCACACAAGTACCTGGTCCTGGTTTTCACCAGCCAGTCTCCTACTCCAATATAGAAACATACGAGCGGGCCAGCAAGTGGCGTGGTGGTTAAGGGCACTGGATTCCCATGTGGCTGACCATGGTTCAAGTCTCGGATCTGGCAGCTTGCTTTCTCACTTCTCTTTTTCTCTCTCTTTCTCTCTCTCTCTCTCTGTCCCTCTCTGGCCAAATTAAAATAAATAAATAAATAAAATAATTCTTTAAAAAAAAAAAGAAAGAAATATACAAGGAAAAATTAAGGGAATGATGCGGTCCCGGCATGCTTTCGGCAGTCTTTCCTTTCACAGCCTTAAAGGATATGCATACAGATGTAACAAAGCCAAGGAGACATTCACCCCAGCAAAGAATAGATGATCGTCTTTGAAGGCATTATAGAAAAGAAATAAAGCTCCAACAGGCAGAAGCAGTGAATAAAATGTGGTATGTGGTCCTATACATAGCCAGCCAACCGAGCATCAGCTGAACAAGTGTGAGGGACTGGGAAAGGGACGCTATGAGGCACAAAGGCGGTTAAAACATGCTGTCCCCCTTGGGCCAGCAGTTGGTGTGGTTATTAAGGTGGCTGGAATCCACATGGCCAACAGCACGGTTCAAGTCCCAGACCTACCTGGAGGCTCGGAAAACACACCAGGCATGTGTGTGTGCGTGCCCAAAATCCTGGATGGAGAAGGGATTGTAGTGGGGTGAGGAGTGACAAGTAACGTGTCAGGAAAATTTCAAGGTAAGAAAATGACCTTAGTCTGGAGAAGGGGGCACAAGGCAAGTACACATGGATAAGTTGGTATCTGGTCTGGGGGTTGAAAGACAGGATGAAGAACTAAGCAAAGGAGGACAATTTGAAACTGAGAGGCAGGAAATATATATATAAAATTATTATATATTATTATATATATTTATATTAATATATATATATATATATATATATATAAAAATGTGTGTGTGTGTGTATATTTTGGTAGAGGTTTTTGCCTTAGGTTATATTTACTTAAAGAGACACAGAGAGACAGAGAGACAATGAGAAGGAAAGTGATAAATCATCCCCAGGGGGATGTGGCCACACCACAGATCCCTTCTTCCTTCTCTTCCCGGGATCTTGGGCATGCATGCACACACGCTCGGCATGAGTTTCAAGCCACTGGGTCTGGGCCTCAAACCGCAGTTGGCCATGTGGGAGTCCACTGCACCATCTGCTGGCCCCAGAAGGGACATTAATTTTTGGGGGGAGGGGGTGGGGAGAGGTTTTTGCTATAGGGCATGTGCGCTCGTCAGAAAGACAGAGAGAGACAGAAAGAAAGCAAGAAATCACTCCCCAGGGGGGATGGCCATGCTACAATCCCTTCTCCTCTATTCTCCTCTCAGGATCTTGGGCACACACGCACATGTGCCTGGTGTGAGTTTAAGTCACCAGGTCCTGGTCTCGAACTATGGTCGACTACACGGGAGTCAAGCGACATAGCCATTACACCAATTGCTGGTCCCAGGACACTAATTTTGATGGGACAACCAATTACAGAGTTCAGGGCTTTAGAAGTGAGGAGCTTATTCAGAACTGTGGTTGAGTCAAAGCAATAAGAGAAAGAAAGGACAGTTTTCAAGACAAGAGCCGCTGGGAACCAGCAGTTAGCGTAATGGCTATGTCGCTGGACTCCCACATAGTCGACCACGGTTCGTGTCCCGGACCCGGTGGCTTAAAACTCACGCCGGACACGTGTGCGTGCGTGCCCAAGATCCCAAGAGGAGAATGGAGAAGAAGGGATTGCGGCGTGAACATCCCCTCTGGGGGGTGATTTCTCGCTTTCTGTCTCTATGTCTCTCTCTGTCTGTCCGGCGAGCGCACGCGCCCTATAGCGAAAATCTCTCCAAAACAAAAGACAAGAGCCACCGTGATCAAACTGTGTTGCTCCGTATTTACTCCTCGGCTACACACAGGCTACAGATACTTGACTGATACTCAAATACAGTAATTGTATGTAACAGTGTGACCAGAAAGTGTCAGACTTCTAGTAACATTTAAGTCGTTTAAATGTTCTTCCTCAGAAGAATAAAAATGTACTATACTTTTCCATCATAGAACTTTCTTCATCAAGAAACTTTATGAATTTAGATAAAACAGCTAAAGCTTTATCTAACACCCTAAAAATCCAGTTTACAATTTTTACATATTTGTACCTTTAAATTGCAAAAAAATTAACTTAAATCACAAGGTGGACTTCTTATGTTGTTATAATGCTTTGCCTTTTCTAAGAAGAATATTCCTGTAAATTAGCAGCTATTCAAGTCTTTGCGAAGCCCCTTTTCAGAAGAAACCTTATCCAGAACCCCAATATATAAAACTCCAAAGAGAACTGCTCCGACTGATTGAAGATTTGCTTGCGTGACCTACGCTCCAAAGTCTCTCTGGGGACCCCTGGGATACCATGGGACATAGCTTAAACCCCACTGTCTAAAACGTCCCCCTTCCTTATTTATGGAGTATTAAGTAAGTGCTGCTAAAACATGGAAAAGTTCAATTTAGAACAAATGAGCCTTTATTTCACCCTGCTCTTCAGAGCTAGTTTTATATAAATGTTCATGACCCTCTCTGGGAATGTAAGCTCCTTTGAGTCCGGTGCTATGATGGATTGATCTAGCTCCACAGGAAGAGCCTAGCTCAGTGCTTTCCAAACAGCGTGGATGTAACAGACAGCTGCGAATTTCATCTACGCCACCGAGGAGGTAATGTACTCACAGAGCCTACTGCTTATACGTGATTACACAGGTAGAAATACATTTTTTTTTTAGGGAGATTTTTGCTATAGGGTGCATGTGCTCGTTGGAGAGACAGAGACAGAAAGCGAGAAATCACCCCCTGGGGGGAATGGCCATACCACAATCCCTTCTCCTCCATTCTCCTCTCAGAATCTTGGGCACACACATGCATGTACCCGGCATGAGTTTTAAGTCGCCAGGTCTGGGACTCGAACTGTGGCCTACCATGTGAGAGTCCAGCAACGTAACCACTATGTCATCTGCTGGCCCTAAGAACATGCTCCATCTTTTAGTGTTAGCAACCACTTAATTTTTGGCATAACCCTTGAGATCTCAGTTAGAGAAAACACCAGATTGAAGGAGTGTAGCCTTAGACTCGCGCACTAATTTCCACGTGCCTCCAGGATTTGGTTCCTATCTGGCCCAAATGAGGAAATGAGGTTCTTACATTGTTTTTTAAGAATTATTCTATTTAACTTTATTTATTATTACTATTATTTTCCAGTTTGATCAGACGGGGGGTGGGGCGGGAGTGAGAAAGCAAGCCACCAGGTCTAGGACTTAAACCTCAGACTGCCATGTGGGAGTCCAGCACCTGCAAGGCCCAGGTTCTTCCATTCTGCTCTGTCACCCTTGGTGTATCCAGAGGACAGGGGACCCCAAGAGAAGGGAAACGTTAAGGATACAGTTTTAATGTGGATTGCATAGCTTAGGCACTGGACATACAGGATTTCTCCTGAACTCACCCATACAGGTCACCAGGGTGAAATCATGAGCTGTCTCCACACCACACGGTCCAGACCCCCACCTCTCTCACGGGCTAACTGCTAGCTACCACGGCAGCAGGGGCGACTTACTTTCAGGGGAGCCTTGGCTTTCCAGTCTGAGTTTATTTAGGCGTTCTTCTTCCTAAGATGTAGACAGAAATTTTCCAAAAATACAAGTTAGAATTTCTGGATGTGTGAAAAACTCCATATGCTGAACAAGGGATCGGATTTCCTCAAAACCACCTCCTCTGATTGTGCTCAGCGCTTCAGTGGGGAAAGGTACTAGCTCATGGTGCCAAAAAGCCCAGCTCCTCCTTCCTGGGCAAAATTAGCACCATGGGATGCCCATCCAACAGGCAGAGAACTAAACCCATCAGCTGGCTTCCGAACTGCCAAATGGGCAATCCGGGAATCTTAGCACCAGAAAGGACATCCAGATTTGTCAGTCACAGAAACAAAACCAAGTTTAAGGCGAGAGAGTAGACTGCTATTTTATTTTAGGTTTAGAATTCTAGGTTTTCAGTGTAATCTTTCTAGAAACTAAGAACACGTCTCCCACAACAGTATGAACTCATGGTTAACAATCACAGATACAGATGGGTACTTACAGAAATGCCGATAAACACAGGGTATGCATGTGCACGTGGTAGTCTGCACACACGCATGTCCTTGCTGTCAGCTGAGAGGGTCTAAAAGCAATGACACCCCAGTAGCAAGGCATGTCCCCAGCTCCCAGACCTGTTTCCAAACCGTTCTTTAATAAAAAGAACAGAGCTCTTTGGGGAAATGACTGTTCAGGGCTGGAGCAGGAAAATACTAAGTCATCAGAAAAGTCAGGACACATTTTTGCATAGAAAAATCCATCATGACTTTTCCAACGACCCAATAAACGAGATAAGCCAGGAGCGGTACACGGCAACAGGAAGTAAAATAAGTGCTCAAAAAACAGGGTCCTATTATGATGGAGCTTTCTCAAAACCATGGAAGAGCCAAGTGAATGCGCTCCCAAGGGCCAAAGCTAGAACAATTTGAAAACAAGACAAATAACATGGTATCAGATTACAACCCAAAGCATGGGGAAAAAAATCCATGAGTCCACAACTGAAATAAATAAATGACTAAATAAATGAGAGAAAACAGATAAATCTCCCGTGCAGAGATATTCCTAGTAAATGATGCAGCTACTCTACTCTGAAGGACAGGAAGCACGACCCCCCTTACGTGTGGGCTACCCACAGTGACTCCCTTCCAAAGAGCACAGTAGGGGAAGGGGGAGACGCTGGACGGCAAGGAACCTGCAAAAATGACGTCGGCCAGCTGGGCCGAGATGGATGCCAACAGTGATGTGGCACGCTGACGGCATCCATCCTGGACGTGATGGGTACAACTGGCACTTTATCTCTACGGTCTTTCTCCCTTGACCCGTCACATCCTAGTCTAGTCCTAAGAAAAGCATCAGACAAACTGCAATTGACCGTCTACAAGAGACATGACCAGTTTCTTTCTAAAAGCACCTCACTGTGCTTTCAAAATGCTTTCAAAGCATTTGTAACTTTGCCTCTACTTTCTCAGACTCTGAGAGGCAGTGAAGTGGCCCAGATAACTTGAGATCCTCACGGCTTCAGTGTTCAATAGCGAGACCTCGGGGTCCTTACCAACCTTGGCTCTGAGCTCCATTTCCGCATCGGATTCATCCAGCCAGCGATCGAAGTCGGGGGCCAAGAACAGTGGGCGCTTCTCCTGCTTGGTGAGCCTCTCCCACCACTGACTCACTTTCTTCTGAACCGTAATGTTTACCTGCCTCTGGGTCAGTTTGTACACCGGCTAGGAGAGAAAGTGAGAGTGTGAGGAACGCCCTCCTCGGTCCCCTGAAACCCCGCCGCATCAGTGCAGCCCTACAGAGAAGCCACACGGTCCGCTTAGCCCCTTCCCTCCGGTCCTGCCAGTCCTGATGCACAGGGAAGCCGAGACTGAGGGCTGCGTACAGAAGCTTAGTTACTTCTGTGCTTCTGTGACAGCATCTGAGACTAGGTAGTTTATAACGAGCAGAAATGTATTTGGTGGAAGATTCTGGAGGCTGGAAGCCTCATCTGGTGAGGGCCTTTTTTCTGTGTCATAACATGGTAGGAGGCACCACACGGGCAAGAGAGCATGAGAGAGAGAGAGAGAGAATAAGCATGAAAAGGGACCAGCCTCACTTTTACAACAAACCCAGTCCTGGTAGTAACATTAACCCATCAGGTCTTACAGGCTCCACTTAGGGGCCAGACGGTGTCACAGCAGTAGCCCAGCACTGCAAGGCTGACTCACACAGGACAGTTACCGGTTCAGGTCGAGAACCTCCCTGAGTGCATGAGGAACACCAGGCCCATGATTCAGGGCTGGCTGAGGCTGGGGCTAGATCACAGCATCAGAACTCTGCTGGGGGTACTGTCTTTCCATTTCTCTCTACCATGGAATGAATGAATGAATGAATGAATCAGTGAGTGAATGAATAAGCTTTTTTAAAAGGTCCTACCAGGGCCAGCAGGTGGTATGGTGGTTAAGGTGCTGGATTCCCACATGGTCAACTATGGTTCGTGTACCAGACCCACAGCTTGAATTAAATCACAAGAAAATAGATAAATAAGTTTTAAAAAAAAGTCCTACCACTTAACACTGTTGCGATGGGGTTTAAGTTTTTTTTAATAATTATTTTATTTAACTTTGTTTATTTATTTATTTACTTACTTATTTATATTTCTTAATTTGACCAGAGAGAGAGAGAGAGAGAGAAAGTGAGAAAGCAAGCCATCAGGCTCCAGACTTATACCATGGTCGACTCCCATGTGGGAGTCCAGCACCCTTAACCACCACGCCACCTGCTAACCATGCAGTTTACGTTTTAACATATGAACTTTGGGGAACACATTCAAATCATAGCATTCTACCCCTCGCCCCCAAAATTCATGTCCTCTTAACAATGCAAAATGTATTTGTTCTATCTCAATAGGCCCAAAAATCTTAAGTTGCTCCTACACTGACTAAAAAGTCCAAATCCAAAGTCCCAAGTCTCATCTAGATCACATACAGGACAGACTCCAAGGCATGACCCACCCTGAGGTACATTTCCCTCCTGCTGTGAACCTACAAAATCAGTTAAGCTATCTACTTCCAAATACAATTGTGGGACACAGGGTAAGAAAGACATTCCCGGGACCAGCAGCTGCTGTAATGCTATTTCACTGGACTCCCATGTAGTCGACCGCGGTTTGAGTCCCAGACCCAGTGTCTTAAACTCACACTGGGCACATGTGCATGCGTGTCAAGATCCCAAGAGGAGAATGGAGAAGTAATTGCAGTGTGGCCATCCTCCCTGGGGGGTGATTTCTCGCTTTCTGTCTCTCGCTTTCTGGTGAGTGCACAGGCCCTATAGCAAAAATCTCTCCAAAAAAAAAAAAGAGAGAAAAACATTCCCATTCCAGAAAGGAGAAATAGGCAAGAAAAAAGGAGTAACGTGCCCCAAGTAAGTCCAAAATCCAAAAGGGCAGACATTAAATATTAAAGCTCTGGGGACCAGCAGTTGGCATAATGGCTATGTCACTGGACTCCCATGTAGTCAACTGTAGTTCGAGTCCCAGATCTGGTGGCGTAAACTCACGCTGGGCGCATATGCGTGCGTGCCTAAGATCCCAAGAGAAGACTAGAGAAGGACTGGGGGGTGGCCATCCCCCCGGGATGATTTCTCACTTTCTGTCTCTCTGTCTCTCTCTCTCTCTTGCGAGCACACATGCCCTATAGCAAAAACCTCTCCAAAAAGTAAATAAATATTAAAGCTCTGATTAGCCTGTCACTTCAGGTGGTGCTTTCTGGACACACTGGGGAATTGGGCATCCCTACTGCTTTGCTGGGCTCAGCCTAGACCACAGTTCTCACAGGTCAGGGTCTCGTCCCTGCAGCTCTCCTAGGCTGTGGCTACTCTCCGATGACTCTGCAGTTCTGGGATCTTTGCAGCGACCTCACTCTCATGGCTTCACTAGACACTGCCCAGTGGGGACACTCTGTGGCAGCTCTGTCCCATGGCAATTTTCTGCCTGGGCTCCCAGGCTGTCTGATACATCTTCCAAAGTCTAGGCAAAGGCCACCACATCTCCACATCTCATAGTCTCTTAAGTGCCTGTGTAATTGGCACCACGTGAACACCATCTAGGTTAATGGCCCTTACTTTCTGGACTGGCAGCTGAGTGGCAGCCAGAGCAGTACCTGGCCCACTAGAGCCAGGCTGGGACAGCTGAGGAACATGACACCAGAATGTGGAGAGCAGAATACTGAAGCCCTGGGCAGCAAAGCTGAGGTCCCACAGGAGCCTCACTGGAAACCTTGCCCTGCCTTGAGATCTCTGAAATGCCTTCGGGGTCATTCTCCCATTGTCTTGGTGAACAAAACCTGGCTTCCTTCTCATCTCTTTAGCAAAAAGATCACTTGGTCACATTCTTCAAATTGAAATTCTGTACAGGGCCAGGCTAAGAATTTTCCCAAACTTTCCATTCTGCTTCCCCTTAAATTACAGCTTCCATCTTTATGTCATTTTTCTCTTCATTGAAAGTGGCCAAAAGAAGTCACTTGAACACTTTGTTGTTTAGATATTTCTTCTGCCAAATCTCCTAGTTCATCATTCTTAAATTCTACCATCCATAAAGCTTTATGGCATGAACACAATTCAACCAGGTTCTTTGCAATTGTCTATCAGTGATGGGCTTTATTCCATCCAGTTTCCAGTACCTTGTTCCTCAATTCTACTTGAGAAATCATCAGAATGGCCATAACTGTTCATGTTTCTCCCAGCATTCTGGTCATGACCATTTAAGTACAAGAGCTCTTTGACTTAAGGTGTGGGTTTGATAATGCCATCACAAGTTGGAAAAAGTGTTAAGTCAAAAATGCATTCAACTACTAATCTCAAGTACAGCTTTAATGAATCATTTTCACAATGCTATAAAGTTTAAAAATTCTAAGTCAAAACCAAAATCAGCATCTGCGGTCCCTAAGAAGCTTCAGACGTCCCCTACAGACCTTCGTCTTCTGAGCCCGTTAGACTTGTCCTGCTACTCCATTAATGACACTCAGCTTTTCTAGGCTGCTCCTCCAAGTTCCTCAGCCTCCACCCACTACTCCCTCCAAAGCTGCTTCCACATTTTCAGGTATTTGTTATAGCAACAGCCCCACTACTTGGTAGCGGTTTTCTGTCTTAGGCCATGTTGTGCTGCTGTAACAGAAAATCTGAGGACGGGTAATTTATAATGAAAGGAAATGTACTTGGCTCACGGTTCTGGTGGGTGGGAAGTCCAAGACTAAAGGAGGAGCTGCATCTGGTGGGGGCCGTCCTGCGCATCTCAACACAGTGGAAGGCATCACATGAATGAGAGCAAGAGGGGACCAAACTTGCTTTTAAAACAACCCCACTCTTGCAATAACAGACCCACTCCCGTGATAACAACAATAATCCATTCATGAGGGCAGAGCCCCTATGATCTAATCAGATCTTAAAAGTCCCACATTCACAGCACTGTTACATGTGGGGATTATACATAAACTTTGGGGGCCACATTCAAACCATAGTCAGAATGGAATGGAAAGGACAGAAGCGTCTTTCTCTGATTCCCCTAGTGAATGACACAGGAGGAAATCAAGGTAAGAAAGGCAGATAGTTCCCGGTTAGCCTAGAGAGCAGCAGCACAAACCTCCTGCCAGGGCCACAACACAAAAGCGCTATGTCCCATAATTCTCTCAACAGCACTCTTAGCCTCCAAGTTTTCCTCCCATGAAAATGACAGTCCCTAGCTTAGTAAACGTTGTACAAAGGCCTGCATGGGGCCAGCCTGTGGTGTAGTAGTTACGGCGACAAGGAACTGCATGGCTAACTGCGTGGGTCTAAGAACTGGCCACTTGAGTAACACACCAGGTGCATGTGCACGTGTGCCCAAAGAAGGAGAAAAGGCGTAGGGACTGTGGTGTGACCATTCTCCATGGGGATGCTTTCCACTTTTTCACTGTCCTCTCTCTGGCAAGTGAATGTGCTCTCAGCAAAGAACAAAGCCTGCGTCGAGGCCAGACCTGTACTGGATCAGTTACAACTTCTCCGCAAGGGCAGTGTTGAGAGGCCTCCCAACTACTCTCAGATTCTCAGAGGCTGTTCCAGCTCACTGTTTCTCTGCCTGGCCTCTTCTTTAGTCTCCAGAGCAAGCCCCATGAGAGGCTCTCTGACTTCATACCATTGCTGACTATTAATGCTTTCTCAAACCAGTTAAACACACAGAGAGGTCAATAAGCTCCAGTGTCCAGGGCGGTGAGCAGTGATTCAGGAATCTAAAACGCACCATCCGTTGGACTCTTTCTCTCTGTGTTACAGAAGCTTCCTCAGGTATAAGGGAAGGGAAATTTCAATGGTATCTCCAGCATTCTTCTAAAGACCAGCTTTCTTATCCTGTTCTGATTTCTATTTTTCTCATTGCCCCTCTGGCAAAGTCACATGAAAGCAACCCAGTGGCATGAGCTTCAACCATCCCTGACCCTGCACTTGTTAGGTCCACTACTCCTCCGCCATCACTAAGATCAGAGCGTGCAGAGCTGGACGCCACAGCAATCCCTTAGACTAATCCTTCGTCTGCAGAAGAGAGAACTGGAAATCAAAGAGGCAAGAAGTCTTGTTCGAGTGCACACACTAATAAACAGCACGGATAGACTCAGGTCTCGGACTCTGCCCTTTCTCTGCAGCCAAAACCTGGACTCTGTTCTAAACGAAAGAACTGTTTCCCTTTGTTTTTCGCCTTCTCTCCTACAACCCCTGCTCCCTATTTCATTAAACTAGTATTCACTTCCTAAAATGGAAAGGGAAGGAAGAAAGGAAAGAACATACCTCTGGCTTCACAAGGTCCAAGAACTCCAGGTGAAATTCATAGACATTGTCCCCTTTGGCGCCATGGCCCTGAGCTAGAAGGAGAGGAGGGGGTTAGGTTACGGTGCGTCTGAGCAGAGCAAGGCCCTCCCAAAGTCAGCTTGGTGCAGTTCCCTCCCCAGCATGCGAATGCTAACGGGCACTGTTGAAACGTATGGGGACTCGTGAGCAGAGCTGCTCGAGAGCTAGGTGAGACACGAGACAGACGCTGATGTCCGTGAGGCCCTGTGATCGCTTTCAGAGTACTTACGTACTCTTCCAGTGTGGGCTTGATGTACCCAGTACATATAATAGGTAGGAAAAAGAAAATAAAAGCAAAGCCAATATAAACGTAACACGTATAAATTGAGCTTTCATGTTTACTTTGGCTCTGAATCCACAGCACAGTAAAATCCGGTGACTGTCTCATTCTGACTGTGGTTAAGGGAAGTCGCGGGGCACCTGGAAATGCTAAATGGCCTCAGAGTCAGTTCAGAATCTAAAACCACCCAACGGGAACAACCAACGAGGGACAAGCTGACCTCTCCTTCAGCACATTCCACACGGAACAAGGAAAGAGAAATACGATCTATCTCAGCTCATGGAGGACGGGGGCTCATGCCTGGCCACGGCTCTATTCCTGTGCCTTAACATGGCTCTTCCTTCCCCAAATCAAGCAGGTGCCAATAGGAGTCAGGTACTGCCAGGCCGACAGCCGCTGCCAGACAGCCCTCCCCTTCTACTCTGCTTCCCTGACCCACTATGTTCTTCCCTCCCCAGGCCACATGTAGTATCACCTATCTGATATTTGCTTCAGGTGGGTATGTATGCATGTACGTATGTATGTACATATGTATGTATATATGTATTTACTTATTTATAGCTTTTTGCCATAGGGCATGTACATTCACCAGAGAGAGACAGAGATGGAGAGAGAGAGGGAAAGTACAAAATTAGCCCCCCAGGGAAGATGGCCACACCGCAATCTCTTCTCCTTCATTCTCCTCTTAGGATCTTAGGCACACAGGCATACGTAACTGGCATGATTCTCAAGCCACCAGATCTGGGACTCGAGCTGTTGTTAGCCATGTGAGAGTCTGGCACCCTAATCACCACGCCACCTGCTGGCCCCACTACAGGTGGGTATTGTTCTCTAAGACTATAACGTCCTTAAGGTAAGATGACCTATAAGCTCTAAGCGGCAAGATACACTTTTATCACTTTTATTTCATATGTATGTAACTCTCAAAAACCCTGAGCTGCTACCACCACTATTCTCATCTTGAAAAATAGGAGAATAGGGGCCAGCAAGTGGCATGGTAGTGAAGGCACTGGATTCCCACATGGCCAGCCACAGATCAAATCCCAGGCCCAGCAGCTTGAAAATCACACCAGGCACATATGTATGCATGCCCAAATCCAGAAAAGAGGATGAAGGAGAAGGGATTATGGTATGGCCATCCACCCTGAAGGGTTCACTTTTTCCTCTCTCTCTCTTACCCCCTCCCTCCACTCCTTGCAAGAGCACACACCCTATGGCAAACATCTAAAATAATAATTAAAAGAAAAATACAAACAAAGCCAGGCTATACTTGCAGGCATGCATATTGGTATAGATGGAATCTCAGGTGGGGCAGAAACTCTACAATAAGCCCAGAAACTGGAACAGACCAGAGATAATCCCACCCCACTGGGTGACAGTGAACTCCCTGGGGCAGAGCAGAAAATCTCGTAATGACCTAAGAAGGGGCCAGGGAGGCAGACTGACCACACCAAGACAGTCAGAGCTGCAGGGCCCCGGGCATCACCTAGCCTGCAGTGCTCTTCAGACTAGCCTGCAAGTGTAAGACCAGGAGGCCACGGTCTAACCAGGGAAAGTTCTAATTCTGGTTTGCATTTTAATCTGAAAAAGAAAAGCAGCAGCATAGTCTGGATCCAGTAGGCGGCCACCTTACAACCAAGCAGCGCCACACAAGCTATGTCTGCGTCTGTCACAGCTGCAACGGAGCCAAATATCACAGAAAGCGGCCACATGTCATTCTTCACGTTGTTTCTCAGTCTGGGGCCCGTGAGCGCTTGAGGGTTCTAGGAACCTACGCTCAGGTGTCTGTGGCTCCTCAAGTTTGAGAAACACAGACCCCTTCACTTTCTAAGTCCAGAGAAGTTAAAAATTTGTTCAAGGTCGTGGGGCAGAATCAGAGCTAGAAGACGCTCTCCTACTCTCTATAGCCCAGGAGTTTTTTCAGTGTGTCTGTTGCCTCTCCAGGGGGAAGTAGGGTTTTTGATTCTTTGACTTTTATGATTCAGAAGAATCTAGTTTACCCCAACAGTATCAAAAGTAAACATCTGAATAAAGTGAATAAAACAAATGAATAAGAAGGGGAAACCACCGCCCTGCCCCCGTAACGGCAGAGCTGGGAACATTTGCCCGTACTGACCTTTAAAATGCAGCACGTTTTCAGTGATGCTGATGGCAGGGTTCTGAGAAAAGAGACCAAGGGTGAAAGAAAGCATTTTAATAAGGAGAAAAATGCAAATAAACCAGGAGATCATCTCCCCACCTTTCCCCTTGAGGAATCAACCCCCTCCTGGGGGTTGATTATATTTAATAATTCAGTCACACACAGATGGAGGGTTTCTCTACGACTGTCTACACCTATCTGAGACTGTACAGTCCTATAAGCAGGACCTGAAACTGCTCTACCTGTGCAGAGCAACTGGATCCTGAATCAGTCCATTCTTTTATTTGTTTAGTTAGTTAGTTAATTTTCCTACAGGGCGTGTGCACTTGTCAGAGAAAAACAGAAAGGGAGCGGGAAGGAAAGTGAGACCCTAGGGGGATGGCCACACTGAAATCCCCTCTCCTCCGGTCTCTTGGGACTCTGGATGTGTGTGTGTGTGTGTGTGCATGCACACACACGCCCAGAGTGATTTTCAAGCTGTAGGGTCCAAGATTCAAACAGCACGGTCAGCCATGTGGGATCCAGCGCCTTAACTTCTAGGCCACCTGCTGGTCCTGAATCAGTCCATCCTGATAATGGCAAGTGACACTAGGTGCTATGTGAGGCACTGCGCAGAAACACAGACCACCCAGACTCAGTCCCTGACCTGCAGAACAGAATCCTGGTGGGACCGATGCGTCACTTCCTGTGAGAAGATACCAAAGAGTTACCAAGGAACGTATGCTCAAGAACAAAAGAGGACACGTTAGGAGTTCAGAGGGCCAGCACAGTGGGAACAGGATGGTCGGGAAAAGAATCACCGAAGGTGAGACTTGTCCTGCAACACAAAGAATGAAATCATCCCAGCAGGCAGAGGGAGAGGTTGAGGATCACAGAGGGTCATGAAAACGCCACCAGCTGTGCACGCGGTGCTGACTTGGCCTTCCACTGGCTCCAGACTCACCCCCACCAACCTAGCCTAGAAGCATTCAAATTCTCCAAATTACTCATTCACCCCAGAGCTGCTACATATCTTTAACAGCATAAAGTAAGACTATATATTTAAAATGTTTTCCAGTGGATGATGGACAACCCAGCTCCTCCCTCCAGTTAGAGACAGAGGAGAAAGCACTGCCAGATGGGGCACGAACGGTTACACCACACCCCTTCTCCTCCATTGCTCCACCCTGTCGGTACCTTGGGCTCCACACACACATGCCCAGCACGTTTTTCAAGTCACTGGGGCCAGGATTGGAACTACATGGTCAACCATGTAGGATCCAGTCCTCATAACCACTAGGCCATGGGGCAGCTCTTCACTAAGCATTTCTGTGAATCAGAGTTTTCAGAAACTAATTCAGCAATAATATTGGGTCTTCGGAAAAAGTCATGACACATTTTTGCATAGAAAAATGCATCATGGGTTGGGAACCAGCAGTTAGTGTAACGGCTATGTTGCTGGACTCCCACGTAGTCGACCGTGGTTCACGTCCCGGACCCGGGCGTGAGTGCGCGTGCGTGCCCAAGATCCTGAGAGGAGAATGGAGGAGAAGGGATTGAGGCATGACCATCCCCCCTGGGGGGTGATTTCTCACTTTCTGTCTCTATGTCTCTGTCTGTCTGGCGAGCGCATGCGCCCTATAGCGAAAACCTCTCAAAAAAAAAAGAAAAAGAAAAAAAGAAAAACACATGATGGGAATTAGCAGTTAGCGTAATGGCTATGTCGCTGGACTCCCACATAGTCGACCGCGGTTTGCGTCCCGGACCTGGTGGCTTAAAACTCACGCCGGGCGCATGTGCGTTCGTGCCCAAGATCCCGAGAGGAGAATGGAGGAGAAGGGACTGCGGCATGACCATCCCCCCTGGGAGTGATTTCTCGCTTTCTGTCTCTATGTCTCTCTCTGTCTGGTGAGCGCACGCGCCCTATAGCAAAAACCTCTCAAAAAAAAAAAAAAAAAAAGTGCATCATGACTTTTTCCGACCACCCACAAGGAGGGCTCTTGCCAGCAGTGCATCTGGCATGTCAGGTTCGGATTCTCTACGGGTGTTGGTAGTGGAGGGACATCTTTTGGTTAAAAAGCTTATGTTAAACACTAGTTGAAAACTGGGAAGGAAGAGACCCTGGCGCAATGAGAAAAAGTCTTTAGTACCTATATTTATGTGTGCTATTGGCCTGTAATTTTGCTTTTTATATTTGCCTCGTAATTAATTGGTTAGCGTTCCTTCTCCCTCTTCTCTGGAAACAAGTCTGGTGTGATAGCCAGCCTTCAAGATGGCCTCCAGTGATCCTCTTCCCCAGACATTTACACCCTCAGACAATCCCCCCACCAATTTGTGTAACCAACAGAAAACAATGGAAGCAATGGTGTGACATTTTTTTTTTTTTTTTAGATTTTTTTTATTGAGTGCACGTACTCACCAGAGAGAGAGAGAGAGAGAGAGGAAGGGAAAGTGAGAAATCACTTGAAAATGAAAATGGGTTGAAAAGTGTTTCTTTTTTGCTTTTTTTTGACAGGGCGTGTGCACTCACCAGAAAGACAGAGAGAGAGACAGACAGAAAGCGAGAAATCACCCCCCAGGGGGATGGTCATGCCACAATCCCTTCTCCCCCATTCTGCTCTCAGGATCTTGGCCACACATGCACATGCACACATACCCGGCATGAGTTTAATGGGACTTGACCAGCGGTCAACTACATGGGAGTCCAGCGACATAGCCATTACGCCAACTGCTGATCCAGAAAAGTGTTTCTCAATTTCCAAAACACATGGGATTTGGGACCAGCAGGTGGCGCAGTCCTTATGTCACTGGACTTCCACACGGCCAACTGCGCTTTGAGTCCCAGATCCAGTGGCTTCAAAATCACGCCAGACACATGTGCATGTGTGCCCAAGATCCCAAGAAGAGAATGGAGGAGAAGGGATTGTGGTGTGGCCACCTCCCCCGGGGAGGGGGGTGATTTCTTACTTTTCCTTTCACTGTCTGTCCCCTGCCCCAGCACACTTGCTCTAAGATAGAAACCACTAAAAACAAACACACACATGGGATTTTTCTAGTTATCTTGATGTTGTTCATTTCTACCTCAACTGCATGTAATCACAGAACAATCTCTGTGTGATTTTGAGCCTTTCAAATTTAGACTTCATTTAGAAAGCGGTATGTGGTGAACTTTAATAAATGTTCTGAGTAAACTTGAAAAGAATAGATACTTTTGGATTAGTTGAGTACAGTGTTGTACACATGTCCATTAGATTTACTTTTTTAAAAATTTTATTTATTATTATTCTTGAATTTGAAGAGAGAGAAACAGAGACAAAGAGAGAGAGAAAGCAAGCTGCCAGATCTGGGATTCCAACCATGGTCAGCCATGAGGGAGTCCACCACCTTAACCACCACGCCACCTGCCAGCCCCTAGATTTACTGTTAATTATTTGTTCCCACAATCTATGTCCTTACTTAATTTGGTCTTATTCTTTTTCTTAATTTTTTTTGGGGGGAAGAGGTTTTTGCTATAGGGCACGTGTGCTCACCAGAAAGAGAGACAGAAAGCGAAAAATAATCCCCCAGGGTGGATGGTCAAGCCGCAATCCCTTCTCTTCCATTCTCCTCTTGGGATCTTGGGCACACACGCACATGCACCTGGTATGAGTTTAAAGCCACCAGGTCTGGGACTCAAGCTGCGGTTGACTACACGGGAATCCAGCAACATAGCCATTATACTAACTGCTGATCTCTGTCTTCTGATTCTTATTACTGTGAAATCAAACTTGTAAATGTGTCTGTTTCTGCTTATATTTCTATTAATTTACATATTATCAAGACTGTGTTACTAGGTACACTTAACTAAAGCGAGAAATCACCCCCCTGGGGGAAATGGCCACGCCGCAATCCCTTCTCCTCCGTTCTCCTCTCGGGATCTTGGGCACGCACGCACACGCGCCCGGCGTGAGTTTTAAGCCACCGGGTCTCGACTACATGAGAGTCCAGCGACATAGCCATTACGCTAAGTGCTGGTCCCGGTACATGTAATTTTAATATCATTAGCTCTTCCTGGTAAATTGAAACCTTTATCATCATGAACTGACCTTTTTTAAACTCTAAAAATTTTGCCTACAAATTATTTGCATATATCAGCATAGATCCTCTACAGGGAATCTGTATTTGCTTCTGCCAGAAGTAGGGGGCCCCTAACAGCTGAGACCACTTTCAACTAAATTTATGGTTTGCAGATTTTTGGATCTCCTAACTTGTGTGAAATTAGGCTGCATAACCTTCTGAGAGCCCACTCATAGTTTCAATTTCTCAGGGGCTGTTTTCTTCTCCTATGCTCAGTGCTAACACGTCTGCAGAGAGGGAAATGGGGTGGGTTCACTTCTAGTTTACCCTAACCCTAAGTACACAGCCCTCGACGTGCATGTAATACATCCTGTTAAATGTACACGTTTGGCGGGCCTCGGCTTTGAGCTTCCTGCTATCTGCATCCCAGTCAGCTGTCAAAACCAAAGTTCAGGTTCACTTGGTTCACCAGTGCCTCTGGAACAAAACCAGTTTCAGTGTTCAGCTTATCAGATCCATAGTGACTGCTATCATTTCTTAAATAACAGAAACACTTCCCAGGACTATTGTGAGAACTAAATGATAACACACACAGTGTCTGGCCAATAGTAAGCACTCGTGTTTCAGCTGCTTTTCTTCCTCCGATAAGAGTGCCCTCTAGGCTTCCATGCCTGTTGAACACTTCTTTCTTTCATTTATAATTATTTTATTTAGCTTTATTTATTTATTTTAATTTGAGCAGACAGGGACAGTGTCGGGGGTAGTGAGAAAGCAAGTCGCCAGGTCTAGGACTCAAACCGTGGTCAGCTAACCATATGGGAGTCCGGGGCCCTTAACCACCACGCCACCTGCCAGCCCTTTGAACATTATTCTCCAAATACCAGGTCAAATATTAAATCCTCTTCCCTCCTCCTCACCTCCAACATCAGAATGAACAGCTTCCTTACTATCTTGGAGTCACTCAGTACACTAGTCTGTAACCTT